TAATAATAAGACAACAAACAAAAAATAAAAAAATACAGCTATTTAGCCCTAAGTTGTGTATCTATGTATTTATCTACGTATTTATGTTTTTATTTATGTACTTTTTTGTGTATTATAAATACACACGGTGCTTTAACGTGGTTGTATATATATGTATAAAAGATTTGTTTGTATATATATATGTTATATACATATAGGCAGATCTCGCAATTATGGTGCGTAAAGGATGAGCATCCTGCCCAAAAAACCCATTATGGCAGTTCAGCCTAAGTTATTGAGCGAGACCTCAAAAAGCATCAAGACTGGTACGATGTGATTTATGGCTTGTTTAGTGGTTTAGGGCTTCGCTCAACTTCTACCCGCCCGGGGAGCACACCGTCAGTGGCGCACACACCAAGTACAAGCAGAAGACGATGCCCAAGACAAGGTTGTCGTTCTTGGAAGGGTGGCAGAAGCCCTATAAACCCGAAACCTTAAACCCAAACCCTCAACGCTAGTATATGTAAACAGAAGCGTATGTTTGTTCCCACGGATTTGCACCAAAAGCTCGACATGTATATACCGTGTATAGATCCATTGCTGTTCGGGCTCTCGGAGCTTGAGGTTTACGGCTTAAGGGTTAAAGATTTAGCGCTGCAGCATCAACACATGTTGACAGTGAGTATGAATGTACGATACAAGGTGGGATAGGACGGTATACGAGTCTACTGTTGATCCCTGCTCAATCACACCGGCTGCGGCGTGGGACTAGGATTTAACGACATGTGACATATCAACAACACAACCATGTGAAGTAGGGGCGGAGATATGACATAGCAGTATTCCGAAACAAGGAAAGCCGACGACGAATGTTGACAAGGAGACCTGTATATAATATGTGCAAGCACAACCTGAATGTGGGAGCCTAGAGGTGGGAGTGGCACAGAGATCGTAGAGGGACCTTAGTCACTAGAATAGGCTTGCGGGGCACAGCATACTATGACTATAATAAGGAAGTCTGCATCACTCTTTCTTCCGACCCCTACACTACTGAGCTTGTCAACCTCTGCCGATTGCACATGCACTTTTGCCGACCTACACAGACAAAGACCGGGCACACAACCCCAGAGTGCTAAGCACGGTCTAAGCAAAGGTTGCAGTCAGGACTTCGGGGTGCATTCTAGGCCTTCTACCGTAAGGAAATGGGCTTACAACAAAAAACAGCCTTACAAGTTGCTGAGGCTCCCGTATTACCTAGGCCGTGCTGCTCAGACACGAAAGTAGCCTCGGCGATCGCTGGCAGGTCGTAGCCAAACAACCCGTAGAAGAACAATGTGAACCTTGCAGTTGCCCCTCGACAACCCTAACCACTAATGTAGGGGCCTGAATAATTAGAATAGGGTTCATGGGTTTTGTTTATGCTTTAGTTCTAACAAGGGGCCATCAAAATGGTATAGGTACTTAGTTAGGCCTCTATATTAGACCTTGTAGTGGTTAGGGTTTACGTGTCTAGGCGGTTCAGGGCTGAGGGAAGCTTCGGGTTCAGGGGTTATGCCCAGCTGTGCAATGATTTTGCCCACACCATCTTTGGGTTTGGGGTTTAGGGTTTAGGGTGCCCAGGGTAAGTTGCCCAGACAATCAATAATTTGCCTTAAGTCATACTATGGATCCTACTCTGACATACCTATAGTCTCCATTGTAGTTCCTGTTTTCGGTTAACCAACCTCATACTTAGGATCCTATAAAGTAACCCCGAAAAGGAACTACACTGGAGACTCTAGGTAAAGTCTGTTCCGTAATTAAGCACAAAGGGAAATCGGAGGGACTGGGTGCTTCAATGCCCTAAACCCTAAACCCTAAATGACGCCTAGCTACAGGACGGCCGCAGTCGGTCATCAGGCTAGTGGCAGAACGGCTTCGAAACCTCAACCCGGTAACCCTAAACCCTAAACCTTAAACCCAACATCCTAAGCCCTAGCTCCCTATAACCGTCGACCCCACACCTGACGCCTTACAAGTCCAAACCCTCAAATGGAAAACCTAAACCCGACAAGCCGAAAACAGAGAACCCTACGTAGCTCTAAGCCCTAAACGGTCCAAGCACCAGGAAACTACGCACCGGCTGGTCCGGCGGTCCTCTTCTCGGCAAACAGATATTTAAATAAGAGGCCCCTGAGCTTGGGCTATAAAAGTTACTGGCAATCCTAGGAGAATCTAGGGTAAGTAGGAATTTATCAGGGTTGATAGGCTTTACGTTTCTTCTTTAGATTTTCTGGGAGTGGTAGGATAGAGCTTGTAGGGTTTACAGCTTAATTATAGGTCTTATAGGGCTTGCAGGGCTTATAGTCTTTATAGGGCTTATAGGGCCTATAGGTTTTCAAGGCTCAGCCCTAAACCCCGAAACCCTAAACCCTAAACCCCTGAACCCTAAACCCTAAACCCTAAACCCTAAAACCTAATTATAGGGCCTATAGGGTTTTCAAGGCTCAACCCTAAACCCCGAAACCCTGAACCCATAGTGCTGATGGAGCTCCTAGGGCTGGGGTGTAGGGCTTACGCCTGACGGTTTCGGATGTAGATGTTGGTATATGGGTAGTTGTCAAAATTATGGTCCCTTTTGGTGTACCGTAAATAGTAGGTGCCGTATTATAACAAGGACCCAAAAAGGGACCATAATTTTGACAACTACCCACATGGCTTTCGGAGTTTGGCACAGGAGGCGGTACTGACATGAGCCTGAAACCCTAAACCCTAAACCCTAAACCGCCTAAATCCTTTAAAAACAAAAACACCAAACTTTAGATCGCGCAAAGTTCTCGAGCAATCGAGGCTTGGGGCTGGAAGCTTTGAAGATCTAGGTGGTTCAGAAGCACAGTCTAGGCTCTTGGTTTAGGGCTTAGGGTTTGGGGTTCAGGGTTTAGGGTTCAGGGCTTAGGGTTCAGGGATTAGGGTTTAGGGTTTAGGGTTTAGGGTGTTTAGGGCTTAGGGTTTAGGGCTCAAGGATTAGGGCCTAATGATTAGGGTTCAGGGTTTAAGGATTAGGGTTTAGCGTTCAGGGATTAGGGTTTAGGGTTTAGTGTTTAGGGTTTAGGGCTTGCGGCTACGTGTAGACCTAAACCCCAAGCCAGGCGGCATTGACCCTCCAAGTGTGTTGAAGTATCGCTCACCCGACACGGTCTCCTGGATGAGCTTGCAGCAGGATGCAGTAAAGCTTCTCATGGATCCACTACGGAACCCTAAACCCTAAACCCTAATCCATAATTCCTAAACCCTAAACGATAAGTCTTAAACCCTAAACCCTAAACCCTAAACGCTAAGTCCCAATTCCTAAACCCCTAACCCTAAGCCTGAAACTCTGACACCCTCGACCCTAACGGTACCCTCCAACCCCCGATCCTGATACCCTTAGGGTTTAGGGTTTAGGGTTTAGGGTTTAGGGGTTTAGGGTTTAGGCCTTTAGGGCTCTAGGGCTTCAGGGATGCTTCTGGTCTCCACACACAAAGCTCTCAATGTCAGATGGGTTTAGCGTTTAGGGCCTTCAGGGTTTGGGGTTTAGGGTTTAGGGTCTTGCGAGATTTGGGTAGTCTGGATAAGCGTGCAACAGCTACCTTACATCTGAAGCATGAACTTTAAGACAATTCGAAAGTCTTGAAGGCCGTTCTTTAGCAACAATCAGCTACCGTGTTTGTGCTTTTGCGCATAGTCTCCTTCAAAGTATGATAGTGACACATTCGCTTCCCATGCAGCTTAGCACTGTTGCTGCTGCTCTTGCCCTTACCGTTCTGACCAGTGACGCCTGCTCATTTCAACTTTTGTACTGGCCTTAGCAACCGGTTGCCGGCGAAATTGTTGGCATTGCTGAGTTGTGTACTACGACTGTATAGATGCTCTACACTACCGCCTCGTACACACACGACATGTGGGTAGTTCTCTAAAATAGGGTCCCTTTTTAGGTCCCCAATATAGTACGGCACCCTTATAAAAAGGACCCTGAAAGGGACCCTAATTTTAGAGAACTACCCATGTGGCACACAGACGTTATTCCGGCTGCTGTTACGCCGGATGCACTGTTCCTAATCTTGTCCTGTGCGTCTGCTGCTTCTACTACCACCTCCCACTATAATGACACGACCTGTAGTCTCCATTGTAGTTCCTTTTTTTGGTTAAACCAAATTTATATTTAGGATCCTATAAGGGAACCCCCAAAGGAACTACAATGGAGACTATAGGTACTGTTACCACCACCGCCACCACCACCACCACTACCGCTACTCTGCAACTGCTACTGCGACTGCTACTGCCGCTGCTACTGCCTGCTGCCGCCAGTGCTGCGACGACCCCTAAACCCTAAACCCTAAACCCCTAAACCCTAAACCCTAAACCCTAAACCCCTAAACCCTAAACCCTAAACTCTAAACCACGATGATGACAAAGGTTTGGAGGCGCAGGATTCAATGCAGGGGTCTAAGGTTGACCCAATCGAGCACCCTCGGCTCCTTGCCGATCAGGAAGCATCCCAATGCGAAGAGGTAGATCACCAGCATCCTTGCATCGATGCCATGCCCCAGAAGGAATTTAGGGTCTTGGGTTTACGGCCAAAGTTGAGGGTGCAAACTGTAGACTTCCTGGTGCGACGGGCCTGTGACTGCGATCGAGCAGGAGGGCATGCTTGGACGTTCCCTGGTACATGCGGGCTTGCTAGTTTTACTTACATCTTCTGCTCACCCTCAGCATTGACAATGTACGAAGCGACGAAGGGACCGAAACTAGTCTTGAATGAAGCTGGCATGAGGGCCTAAAGACAAGCTTTAAGCCTGGCCTTTCCTAAACCCTAAACCCTAAACCCTAGACCCTAAACCCAATTCTCTGCTTCAAATGACTGGAAACTCTACAGCAAACCCGACACCCCAAACGAACTCGGCGCCCCTTTAGCGTTTAGGGGGTTTAGGGTTTAGGGTTTGCAGCAGCTGCTGCTTGCATACGCAAAGGTAGCAATCCCCAAGTCGTGTAGTACAAAATCGCAGGCTCCAAGGACTCTGGTGACCGAGCTTCGACCGCAAACACCACACCTACCCTAAACCCGAAGCCTTATATCCTAAACCCCAAACCCTAGACCC